CCCACTCCCCTCACTCCCATTCGCCATCCATGAAAAATGAGCTTCCTTCCCCTTGCCTTTGAGAGCCCCGGAAGTATGACGGCCAGTGAATGGTGAGTGCCAGTCGAAACTGCCTCCACTCCCATTCGCCTCCTCATTCCTATCCCTATCCTCATCGAGTCGTGAATCCGGCATTCTCTTGTTGGTTTTTGAGCGGGCGGAATGCCAAGAAGGGTTGTACTCCAGGCGGGAAATAAAAGTTCCGGCAGGCACATTCAGAGCGTAGCTTACTGCAATATATTCTATTTGTAGGCTTGGGCATCGGATTATGGTGTCAATGGCACAGTATCTTATCTCGCGAAGTATGCCGGCGCAGTAATCGCTCTGGACGAAGAGGATATGGAGGACCCGAAGAGAGCGTAAGCCATTCAAGTGCTGCATGAGCAAGTGCTGTTTCAATTTTAAAATTTGATTAGTGTTCTCTGCAGGTAGTAGGAAGGTAAAAGTGTGATCGCACAGGAACGACTTACAAAATTAGGCGAGGCCATGGCGACAACGAGCTCTTTCAGCGCGAAGCCACGTTTACAGATAAGCGCGACAGATTCCCTATTCAGGGCCCAGGTGGAATCTTCATCGTTTCGAATCATTAACCGCTTCAGATGCTTTGCATGCTTTGCAAGTACCTGCTTCTGGATATCTTCTATTACAACTTGTGTCCTGGGTGCCAAGGACTCGACTTTCGAGCGGGCGATCCTTTCGACCATGAAGAGTTCTTCTAGGTAGCTTAGGCCATTTAGAAACGCAAGAAAACTCGGGGTGACATTATCTGTATGGATGGAAACTAGTTGGAGAGGGGTACTTCTTTGTAGCTTGGAGAGCATGGACCAAAATGGACGTTGGGGCCCCACATTCAGAAGGGAGAGATGCCTCAGTGAGGAAAGGTTGACCGCTCGGCAAAGTACGGATGGTTTCACAGGGATCAGGTAGATGGATAAACTTTCCACCGGGATTCCATGATGGAGGCGAATATACGCTTGGATGGCGTCTTCAGTGTCCTCCATAGCTCCAGTATCCGGATGTGCTACAGAGGTTGGTACGCCAGTCATCCAGGAATCGTCAGAAACCTTAACGGGCTGCTTCCCTTTACTTGACGAACTTGACGCATGACCGTCTGCACCAGAGGGGAACAAACTAGCCTGAGGCTCGTTCAATATGCCCCCCGAACATGGAAGTGGGCTTTCATCCTCCATAGAGCTATCCGTCAAATCGAGAAACTCCTGGTCCTCACCACCTTCACAGTTGACTTCGTCTGGATGTTCCAGATCAACGATATCCTGCAACTCGTCCTCAAATTTTTTCTCTTCTGGCTTAAGGATAAATGACGGTTGATGACTTTGATTTTGGACCTCTAAAAATTTGTTGAAAACACTCTCGCCAGCGTCAGATGTGGATGATGAGTAGTCAATGAAAGCCTTAGCGGCAGGTTTCCAACCAGGTACAGGTTTTCCTGAATGCAAGGTATTGTTTTTATGGATAGGGCCTTGGGTAACATATGAAGAGCCTAGAGGGTAGGTTCCCTTCGAAGATTGGGAAAATATGCTTTTGCTCGATGGTGGAAGCTGTGATGGTGGTGGTGGTGGTGGTGGTGGTGGATATATCATACCAGGATGTTGCACGGGAGGGCTTCCTTCATCCAAGCCAAATATATTTTTGGATTGAGGAATATTAGTTGTGAATGGTGAAATCGACTTCGGTACAGGGGGGACTTTATGAGAAGGTTGTTGATTAGCCAACGCTTTCTTCTTCATCTTGCGATATCCATCCGCGATTTCCTTCTTCTCCAAGTAAGCGGCGACTACTTTCTCGACTTTTTGAAGAGCCTTTAGGCTCTTACTAGAGGCGGCATGAGCCCCTTTGCTCTGAGCCAGGCCGCGTACGATGGTGGATAGCTTTTCCACAAACATACGGTCTTCATCGTATTTCGATGGCTTGAGCGCCAAGCGAATTTCTTTATCTGCATCATAAATTGCACGGTCCGCAATCTTCTCCAGTTTTTGTTGCGCAACAGTCTCCTTTTCTAGTCCAAAAATTCGAGCAAGGGCCTTTTCCTGGGCAGCACGTTCATGACGCATATCAACATCACTTGGTGTAGAGATATTTCCGAATAATTGTGACGTTACAGGTGGTGGAGGCGCTGGAGATTGCATCAGTGGATCATTTAAAAATGCGCCGCCGTCGTCGTTGTCTTGTGCTGTATCCGTGTCCGACACATTCACAACAGTCTTCTTTCGAGCTATGAGAGCCAACGATTCCGAAAAAGAAAGCTTTAGGGTCTTAAGCGTTGTTGAGGACGACGAAATACATTCCGCAATCTCTTGGACATACTCGAGGGTATCCATATCTAAAACGGCCAAACTCTTCAGACTTGAGAACTTGGAGAAAGTCCGTGCAGAATGAGGAAACTTATGAATATTCAACCGCTTCGCTGGCTTTACATTATTATTTGAAAATAACCCTAGATTGGAACTAGGTGGGGCCGGGTGATGATGTGGGTGATGATGTGGGTGTGATGCGGGTGGTGATGCGGGTGGTGATGCGGGTGGTGATGCGGGTGGTGATGCGGGTGGGGGTGGTGACTCGTAGTAGGCGGTATGGACGAGGCAGGAACGTTAAACGAAAATGTGCCGGACGAAGGAGCCATTGGCGGGGATGGATGAGTAGACTGCCCATCCTGCAATCGAACATGGACATTTTGGAGACTCCCGTGCTTGCCCAATGTTTCGAAGATGGCGGGGCTAATTTCTACGCGAACATTCCACCTAAATCAGGTCAGAAAATACTGATTTGCCAAAAGATAGCGCTATCTAGAAATAATATAAAAGGTAGGTGACTTACCGGAAGCTTTCTAAGGCTGGTATCTTTTTTATAGTTGCGAGCAGAAGAGTATTCAAAAACTTTCCACAGCTCGAGCCATATTTGAATTCCAAAGCCACATTCATGCCTATATGGCTTCCCTGGACCGTATCTAAGGATATTTCCTTAATGTAAGCGGCATAATTGTAGTCACTCGTTATCAGTGTATCTAGAACACCAGTAAGACGATCCACTGCCAGCTGTCCGGTTCTTGTGTCACGTTCATCAAAAATATGGCTTAATGAGCGATAGAGCTGGGCTGCAGCTATGTCACGGAAGGATTTCGAGACGAGGGAAATGTTGACCAAATCTGAAGAGGAAGCCTGACAAGGGTGAGAAACAGGTATGTTAGCAAATACGACAAGCTGAGCGCATAGCTCTATCATTCAGTTTTGGTGGGGTTTGCGAACACTAGTACTCACATACGCAAATATGGAACTCAGCGTCTCTGGGGGAAGACGTAGTATCGGTGGTATTTCGTATGGTGAAGCCCCAAAGACATTAACTGGTGAAGACATTGACGAGAGAGGCTGATCTATACAGCCTACTGTCAACTCTATAAGCTGTCGAAGGAAGTAATCAAGGTATTTGCAGCGATCCTTCTATCGAATCGCAGAAGAGAAATGGTTGAACTGGAGATGAGAGTAATCAACATAAACAAAAACCTGTTCGCGAGACAAAAAAAAAAAAAAAAAAAAAAAAAAAAAAAAAAAAAGGTAAAACATATAACTAAATAATATAATAGCACAGCAGAGAGTTGACGAACGGGCTAGACCAGTTGACAAAACATACAGCAATACCGGTTGCAAGATAAAAGAGTCAAGATAGACTACAGTGGGATCTTATATTGCTGATAGGTAGTATGCGTATGGTGAAGATGAACAGGCATCAACCGGCAGGCATTGAGCTGTGCAAACAAGTTACCGAGTATTTAACTAACTGTCAGCAGTGTTGTGGTATCAGGGCACCCAGACAACAAAACATTTAAAGTTTGTCTATCCGAAACCGATGGATAAAAACAGAACGAGTCAGTCTAAAGCAACAACCAGAAATAGAGAAGAAAAGAAGAGGCCGGGGCGATCGGAAACAAAGAAGAAGGGAGCGAGGGAAGTTCGTCGAGGTTGGAGCCAGACAGGACGCGGATGATGGTGAATGATGTTTTGGCTTGAGCCGCAACCACGAGCTTGGGCCAGGTACCAGTACATGTCACCCACCCGAAACTGTGTGCGGGTCCAGGTCACTCTTAGCGTCAGACGACTTCCAAGGTTCTGCCTTGCTCACTGCCCAGATAGGAAACCTCCAGAACCTCACCTCAATTTAGTTTTGATACTGTCGACGGCGCTACCGTTACCCAACCAGCCTGTCTGAATCCTACGCAGTAGGTATACACATCTCCATGAGTTGAGTTATCGCCATATGTTCCTCCTCCCAGCCCCGACATGCCTCTCTTTCCTTCCACTCCCTCCCTCCTCTCCGTCTCCGTCTCCCTCTGCCTCGCTCTCTCCCTCCTCGTCTCCGCAGGTCATACCTCCAATTGGGCCGTCCTTGTCTCAACTTCTCGATTCTGGTTTAACTACCGCCACCTCGCCAATGTCCTCTCCCTTTACCGTACAGTCAAGAGACTCGGGATTCCCGATTCTCAGATCATCCTGATGCTACCAGATGACATGGCGTGTAACCCTCGAAACGCATTCCCAGGAACAGTCTATAACAACGCTGACCGCGCTCTGGATCTCTATGGTGATAACATAGAGGTAGACTACCGTGGCTACGAAGTGACTGTAGAAAGTTTTATTCGACTCTTAACGGACCGGCTGGATGATGACGTACCTCGCAGCAAGCGGCTGGGATCCGATGCAGGAAGCAACGTCCTCGTCTACATGACCGGACACGGCGGGGACCAGTTCCTGAAATTCCAGGACTCTGAGGAAATTGGCGCATGGGACCTGGCTGATGCCTTCGGACAGATGTGGGAGAAGAAACGATACCGGGAACTTCTTTTCATGATCGATACCTGCCAGGCTAATACCATGTACACCCACTTCTACTCCCCCAACATCATCGCCACCGGTTCCAGCGCCCTCTCCCAGTCCTCTTATTCCCACCATGCCGATAGTGACGTGGGCGTCGCCGTCATCGACCGCTGGACATACTACATCCTTGAGTTTCTGGAAACTCAAGTTACGAACCAGAACTCGAAGAGTACTTTAGGCGACCTCTTCGATTCTTACGATGAGTCGAAGATCCATTCTCAGCCTGGGGTGCGGTGGGATTTGTTCCCTGGCGGTGAACTCGAAGGCAGACAACGTATCGTTATGGATTTCTTCGGCAATGTGCAGAATGTCGATGTCGAGTGGGATCGGGGGAACACAACAATGGACGCCGGTTCACTGAAAGACGACCTTGTAACCATCGCTCGGTTAGTTGAGGAATGGAGGCGAAAGGAACCGCAGGTGCATGCACAGTCATCCCTGGAATCGGTTTCAAACAACATCAGCAATGAGGGAGCACGACAAAACAGCACCAGCCGTCCGTACCAGATATCTCCTGGTGCCATGAAAATGGATGATTCGAACAGCTGGAGTAATCGACTTGTGGGGCTATCTGTTTTAGCGAGTCTAGGGGCGGTATGGTTTGCTGGTTCATTGCTTGGGAAGCCATAACGTTGTTCAAAGTTCCTTTTTAACTTTTCTTTACGCTATGATCCATGTAGTTTCCATCGTTTTCTTTGATAGTTTTGTTTTAGACGTCTATACCTCCTTTTGTTCGTCCTATTTTCTCCCTCAAACATCTGACGGGAGGGCAAGTCTGTGTATAAAATTATGTACTTTTATTATCAGAACTGAAGATCTATGACAACTTCTTCACACACACGTAAATACACATATATAAAAACCCCGTTTGAATCTATGCTTCTATATTACTTCAGCACACGCATCCCTTTCTTTTATGTATAACATTCCATTCCATCTTGTAGCTATTGGGGGAGGGAAGAAGATAAATGGAGAAAGAAAGAGAAAAGAAAAGAAAAATTGACGGAACAAACGAAGCAGATAATCATTCTCAGAAAACTCCCAACAATGGTCCGGTAACCCTTATGTTACCCTCTACATCCCTCCAACGCTATATACAAGGCCTGTATATCCGGTTTCGTGACGGAAAAAAGAATAAATAGGAGAAAGTATGAAATGAGACCGTGAGACATACTCCAAAAAGTTAGTTGCAAAAGACGCGAAACGAGGGCTAGAAATGTGACATTCGTGGAAAGGTCGTGAAACGGAAGGTTGGGAGTTGTGCATAGAGATAAATTGGAAGTTGAGGGAGGAGAGGTATATTGTGTGATTTAGCAGCCCAGAAACATCATTAACACCATCGTGCTGGAAATTTCTGGCGAATATTGGGAAGATGGATGAGGTTCCTCATGAACGGAAATGAGAGCAAGGCGAGTAAAAACGTAAGATAATGTAACAGGGTGAAAGAAAGAACTATGCGCCGATGTGGGCTGAAGGATAGGACATAGGAGATAGAATGCCCAGAGATAGTCAGATCCCCCAAATAATAAGGTTATACGAAGTTTTCGGCAGGATTGGCAAGGGATTGTAATGTCCGGCATAATGCATTGAAATATCATGCATGTAGTTATTAGCCAACAACGCTTCGAAAACTCAGCGCTTCAAGAAATCCGCCCAGATCTTCCTTCTGCACCTCTACAACACAATGCTCGAAACTGTCGATTCTCACCCGTGCATTCGTTTCGTGAACAACTTCTTGGAAAGCAATCCCAAAACGATTCCGCGCCATTTTTCGATTGTATATGTTACTCCGCTCGTCAAATTCATCATCCGAGTCAGAATCAGAGCTAGAGGATGAAGAATTGTCACTTTCTTCCTCTTCTTCCGACCCATCATCCTCATCATCCTCATGTTCCGCTCTCTCAGCCGCCCACTTAGCCCGCCTCTCCTCTCTTTCTGCCCTCCTTTTCTCCTGCGCTTCTTTCTTTTTCCGCTTCTCATCACGTTGCTGCGCGAGAGCCGCGAAATCCACCACTCCTCCCCCGCCGCCTGTTCCAACAACCACATAGACATTTCTATCCTCATCCAAGCCGGCTAGGACGAGTGGTGTCCCCACTACCCGTTTGCCGCCAACTTTCACAATGTCTTCCTTTTCTTGCTCCTGCACACGGACCGCCTCGCCCACCCATAGTGCGAGTTTAGTTAACGCGCCGGGATTAGTGAAAAGTTTCACGTCCGGGCCGTCCTTAACTACTGCAATTCGAAATGCGCGTAAATGTCGGATTTGGTGTTTGGAAAGTAGAGAGGTGCCTGTGCGTAAAATTGCACGATGGAGGTGTTGGGCAAGAGGTAAGGAGCTGAGGAGATTTGTCGGGGATTCGGATGACGTTAAAGATATCGCATCATAGGCACTCCAGAACCGGGCAAGGATCTGGGAAGAGTCTGAGTCTGGATCAGAAACGATATTGGATACATTCTCGTCTCGTTTACGGGCAAACTTTTGAAAGTGATGGCCATCACTATCTGATGATGTGGGATCTATTTTGCCGACTTCGAGGATAGCGCCAATGATCACACCAACATCGGTGGCGGAAAGGCATGCCTTCCAGCCCCAACTGCGTACAAAGCCCCAACCAGCATAAGTGCCAAATTGCGCTCCCGAAGATGCAGGCGGTACCAGTCCTTCCAGCCCATACATTGGCGCATACTTGAGTAGCTTTTGCCGCAGTCCGCGTTTGACTTCCATGTCCATATGAGTATAATTTTGATGACACTGACTAAGGCTCACGCCCATCTTGGCGAGAAGTTTGTGTAGACGCTTTCGCCCATTTTCGCTCCAGACATGAAGTCTAGTGGCCAGGTATGGACTGTGCAGCATGCTTTCATACAAAGACCAATGGCGTACAAGCAGGAATCGTGGTTCAGGTGAAAGTAGTATCGAAGTATCGGTGGGTGAGCGGCCAGTGGTGGGTATAACGCCACTAACTTCACTTCGTAGAGCGTCGCGGCCAGTCTCGGAGAGTTCGGGAGGATTTAAGCGACGAACCTCGTCGCGAAGAACCTGCCTAATGCGCTCACCTCGCTCACCTCCCCACCCAGCTAAGCCTCCAGACTCAGAGGCATTGGATATCCCTACACCCGCCATAGTTCGCCCTGAGAGCTCTAAACTGGATACGCCGACAATTGCAAGCCACAGAAGGTCATTGTCTTCCCGGCCAAGTTCTGATGCAAGCGAGTATAATATAGACGATATAGGTTCAGAATATGACGTGCCAAGGGAGTAGTACGCTCGTAAAATATCTTCGTGTTTTCGTTTCAGACGCACTAACCGACGCCGTAGAGTACGGGCCGATGGTTGTTTTGGTGCCGCTGGGGATTCAGAGCTTGATGAAGGCGATGGAGAGCGAGATGACTGTGAGGAATCTCGCGGTTGACGTTGATAACGGCTTGGTGACGTTATAAAAGATCCCTATAATATACATATTAGTCCAGGCTTGAGATCGTTTATGATATCAATTAATACGAACAGAGTTACTTCTGCGTCTCTGTCGGGGTGGTCCCTCGTCATCAGAGCGCTCATCGTCGTCATCACGACCTGACCATGACTTTCGTTTCTTCGAGTGAGAGCCAGAGTCTTCATCTGTGTCCGATGCACTGTTAGAATCGTCACTCTCCTCACCATCCTCATCCAACTCCGGCATTTCTAGAAGTGCGAAGTAAGCTTCCCTTTCCGCCGTTAATTCTTCGTCGATGTCGCCATCATCAAAAGCGATTATTCCTCCTTCATTAGATTTATAAGATGGAGTGATACATCCTTTATTTAAACCAACAACATTCCGTCTTGGATGTGAATCTTGTTCCTCCAGCGAAGCGCAACCGGGATATCCTCCAAAAACATTCCCCAAATTCCAGGGTCTTCTTGCATCAATGACCCAAATTTCGACTCCACCCATGCTCCCCGTCTCATCCACATCGAGGCATAATATATCACTTAGATCCACTAGGCCTCCCACGCCCATGCAAACGACCACTCCACCGCTTCCGCCATGCGAGGTTCGCATGGGACGAACCAGCTCTTCTCCAGCACGGGACAAATCCGCATATCCACTAATTGGTTGTATTTTATGAGGGATATAATCTCGTTTAAGTAATGTCGTCAAGATTCGACAAGCACACAGTGCATCTGGCTCGAGGGCAGCAAGTATGAGTACAGGCGGCGAGAGGGGATGGTGGGATCGTAGGAGCTTAAGGTAAAGCTGTGAAATAAGATTCCGAGGCAGATACATCACAGGAAAAAGAAGCAGACACGAGAAATGAATAGTACATCGAATTGGTTAAGTTGAATGTCACTATTGTCATGTCGATGTTTGGGGAGGATGTTGGCGGTGGTGGTGGAGGAGGAAACGCGGTATTGTATGATTTGAGTTCACGCGTCGAACTAAAATGTACTACTAGTAACTAACTATCTGGTAACTAAAACCGGATACAAGATTACGGAACAATTCAAACTTACCAAGTCCCAACCCGCTAATGGTCATGTGACTGAATTAATAGCAAAATGCTCATGCGCAAGCTGCTCAACGGAAATAAACATCTCTAATCCGATGATGTATGTTTCAATGGGCATTGGAATTATTAATTGGTAGTCGACAGTCACACCACCTCATAGTGGATTTCTTCCATTCGGGGCGAGGAATTTATCGCCATTCGAGAGAGACGGAAGATCTTCTCTCTGCGCTTCGCTTCCCCGGCGCTCATGTCTTCGTCCTGAAATTTCAATAATGTGGCTGGATAGAAGAAACTTAGCTTCATCAAGTAGGCGAAGTCTCGCGGCACGGAGACATCAGAAACCCTATGAGTACTGGTTGCTGTTCATGGGAAGATGGCACGAGGTCAACATCGGCCGGCAAGTTGAAGATCACGGAGAGCGGATATCAACCCTAATTTATTTGATTTTGCTCACTTCTATACGGAAATGCGGAGACGGGCGCAGAAGGAAAGCCGTGGATGGCCCAGAGATTATGTAGGAAGCCTATTGTGGAGTTGAAAACTAGCGACAAGTCATCGTTTTTCCAGCGCATCCAAACATAGGCTGCAGGCTTCAGGCTGCAAAATTTACTTTGTCATTGGCGACATTGTTGTATGCAGCTAACATGCAAGGCCCAAACATCATCAGACTGTGAAATCAATTCTTCCATCCTTTGAAGGCAGACTGGAAGGAATTATTCTGCCTGCCAAAGGCACCTCCCCGGTGGTTATCCTCGTTTTAGGCTCCACTGAACTATAAATGGTATTCTCTCCCTGTGATAAGCCGCTCAAAGAAATCTCGCTGTAACTACCAGTACTTCCAACGACAGACAATTCCACATACGCCCTCGGAAGGATAGAGCGCCAGAGAAAGCAGGTTAGAGCCAAAATGGATAACCCAGGAGCGCCACCTGGAATTGAAAGTAAAGGAGAGGAAGAAATCTCTCGCCATCGCAAACTTGTTGAAAGAATAGCCCAATTTGACGAACCACCAGAAAACTTAGATTTCACAATATCTGGTAAAGACTGCGAATATAAAGTCCATTCCAGCGTTATTTGCTCCCGGTCACGATTTTTCGATAGAGCGGCGAAGGGGAGATTTGTGGTAGGCAATGATTTTTTTTGACTCCAACTCAGCCCCGATTCTTCACCCGCTTCCTGTTTTCAGCTATGGGTAAAATCATAAATCGAACAGACTAGCTAACTTTCTATTAGGAATCGACCACAAAAAGAATTCATCTGCCAGAGGAAGATGCTGTTACTCTCGAATTATTAATTTCCATCCTATATGGTTTCGAGTCTTCATACTCTGCAGAGCTCTGGCCAGAAGCTCATGCGGATATAAAGATCTTGCTAGACGGTATAGGCCAGTCAACTCAGCGTATTATACCCACCGAAGCGTCAACGATAGCTATTGAAGGCGCTTTGGACACCCCCAAGAAAAACACGGGCCTCCGATTACTCCGTTTATACGCTCTCGTTGACAGATTCGACATATTTTGGCTGCAAGAGTGGGCAAAAGAAATGGTCCTTTTATGGGTCAAAATCAATCCTCGCAGCGACAGCTTTGTGGAGGTGATTCGAGCGGTTTACCGATGTGAGACTGGAAATTACTCCGAATTTGTTGACGAAATTTTCGCACTCGTCTTGGACAATGTGGATATACTGATTGAGAACGACGAATTTTACGAAGTGGTGGCAGAGAACGGGGAGCTCGGAGCAGAGTTGCTTCGACATGTTTTATCGACGAACAAAATCGTCCATTCAGCATTGGACATGAACAGCTCCTTGGCGACGCTACAGAGTATTGGGGGAGAGAAGTTAGTCTATGAAACGGCTAAATTGCAGCTAAAAATTCATCATAGTTTGGCCGAATTTCCAGGTCTAGCTCGGAGGTCATCTTAGGATCTAGGATAGTGGTAAGAATCGTGTGACTTGACCATAATCTCCCAGAACCCTCAAACCTAAAGGAGTGAAATATTTGATCCCCGCAACTGGAACATTCGATCAACGACGGTGGTATCTGAATCACACTGATTCCTCCGCGTGAAGGGAGACTGAAGCATGTTATATATAAAAATACCCTTGCCAGATAATCTGAAGGCTACATTAGCTTCCTACTTCACATTCAGGCTGGGATATCCGATGCGCCCTTGATGCCGCTTCCATCTCACAAGTCCTTACAAATCCGTAAAAGCTTGCTTCATATTTATATCAAACAGTCCAGGTAGACAGCTTTTTGAGTTCACGGAACATTTTCGTCGCCCAAGAAGTATCCAACGCATGCAAGCGTATACCATTAAAATGGATCAACAATAAATCCAAACAACTCCGTCCCGCTTCTATTTTTGTTCAGACCACGAGACCCTTAAAAAAACCAATTAAATACAACATAACCTTCACATCCCCATAATAATTAACTAGTTCTCCATCTTTACTTTAACTTCCAGGGCCTTCGGCTCCAACCTCATCACATAATACTCCACATCCCACTTTCCCATCACATAGTGGCCGTGCTCGATGTCGACAAACCCATGTCGAAGATATACGGGGTGTGCCATTATGGAAGCTTCTAGCCATACCGGCACCATCAGGTGGCTAGCGAGATCGCAGCCCCATTTTATGAGCTGGCTTGCGATTCCTTGGCCCCGGTATTCGGGGAGAACGAAGAGGGCGTCGAGCTCTGAGAATCATGTTAACCCAAGCCAACAGTACTTGATGTATGTGGCTACACATTAGGCGGGTGCTCAGAATAGCTCAGCCAGATGGATATGTTTGTGCAAGGCATGTAGGTTTCCTCAAAGAAACAGGCCATGATCCCGTGCTGGAGGGGTGGAAGGATATATAGATACTCCGTACAAACATTCAAATACGCAAAGGGACTAACTATAAAAAGAAAAAGAAAAACCGAAAAAGCTAAACAAGAACAAAGGAAACCCACCAATATGCCCCTCCCTCAAAAGCCTCAGCTTCCGATCCACAATATCTCTAAACATCACATCTAAAATCTTCTTATCCTCCAGATCCTTGAGCCATATCATGTCCTCCAGCTTCAGTTCAGGTCGCGATAGGGGAACATACGCGGGCCTCAACTTGTAATTGACCACGCCAGCAATTTTACGACCGTTGTTCGTATCGATGGCCTTGAGCCAGATGGAGTTACTTTGAGTCGCGAACTGCTTCAGGCTCCTCTCCTTGAAGATCTGCTGGTTGCGCGGGGTATCCTCGCCATGTATTAGCTGCTGGAAGGGTTCTTGTTGAAACGCTCGGAAATGGCCTTGGATTATTTCGCTCCAGTCTGAGGCTTCTATTTTCGTGATGATTATATGAGCCATGCTTGCGGCGTCGAAATGAGTGATTTTGGTCTCCTGTTATTATTTCCTCTTAATTTCTAGAGATGGTATCCAACTGTGGGCGCGCTGCGGTTGACTAGTCTGTATGTTTCCTAACCGGGCCCTAGATGATTTGTAAGCTGCCGCTCACCTGCAACTTCTGGTCGGCCCCTCGTTCCGAGGGTCCGCCATCTCAACGTTATTCCGCCATCTCAACGCGATTATTTTCAAATACGCGAATCTCTTTTTTCAAAATGCAATAATCAACCAACGTGATGACTTCTACATATATTTTAATAGAGAATAAGATCACAGAGGCTCTAGATTCCATAGCTGATATTGAAAAACCCAATATCAAAGCATTGACAAGAAATTATAACCTTCCCTATTCCCGTCTGCTCAATTGATACAATGGCTGTGCTCCGCGAACTTATCGACCTCCTGCTAATCAACTTTTATCTTTTAAGCAGGAAAAATCACTTTGTCAGTATATAGAAGCTCTAGATAAGCTATGTCTACCTTCCAATCAATCAATGATCTTTAATGCTGCTTGATTTCTACTTGCACAGAGTCATACAAATTCTACTACACCTGCATCTGAGCTTGAAGAGCACTGAGTCTAAAGATTTCTCAAACATCATTCAGAGTATAATGTACACAAGCAAAAGATCATTGATATATTACAGAAACAAGCTCATCAATCATCTTATATTTTTGATTGATTTAATCAGTTTAAAGAAACAATCAATAAATATGGAATTCAAGATTGTGATATTTACAACTTCAATGAAACAGAGTTCAGAATAGAAATTGAATGTGATCAATGAATTATAATATAAAATTTTCAATAATAAATTTATATTGAAAGTTCAAATAATAGAGAAAATCTTACTATCATTGAAGAAATTGCAACTGATGGCTTTATCATTTCTCTTTTATATATTCTCATTATGAAGCAGCTACAGAAGCAGTGAAAAGATGAAATAAAGAAAAATGTCATAATAATTACATTCAACATTGAATATAATAATGATCAAATCTTTTTTCAATGGATTCAGCATTCTCATCAGTTTATAAAAGCTCATATTAAAAAAACTCATCATCTGCTTTTATTAGATGAATTTGACTTTCTGTAATAGACGCAATGAAGATATCTATATTAGAAAATAAATACGTGGCGATAAATACATGGCGATAGATAC